AAGGCTTTGAGCCTTACAAATATCGATATAGTACTGTAGTAATAAAGGGTAAGTATATAGTAATAAATACAAAAGATTGATCAAAGTTAGATTTGTAAGCAAATAATAGTAATGAAAAATCACGTGGTGGACAGACAGACAAATTTTGCTCAAGACGCTAGGTTTTTGCACGTGATTACCTATATATGTAAAATCACGTAGGTGAACAGACAGATATTTTTCAACTTTTACATGTACTTGAGAGTTCTCGCTACGCTTCGGACAATAAAATCGGCTAAGTTGATTTTTTGAAAAATCGGCTGACTAAGCCGGCTAAGCAAAATCGGCATGTGTGATAATTGACCAATGATTCGATTATGATCAAATAGATGTAACACAATCAGGAATAACGTAAAAAAGATTTATCCGTTTTTAAAATTGTTTATAACTCAAAAATTTATATAACAACCCGACTTTTATACTCTAACAAAAAGCTTTCCTTGCGAAATTTTACCACATAGTGGCAATTCTTTCATAATGATCTTTAAAGTTTGTCGTAAATGTAAATTTTAACGAACAATAAGAAATGCATTAATTATAACGTGTGCAGACAAATCCCCCTACATGCTGGGATCTTAGGGTGTTCAAGAAGTGATTATATGGTATCAGGTAGAGTTGTAAATTTACATAATACGCATGACATCAGGGACCCGCGATTATTTTTCGTTAGAAAAGCACTATTGACCAATCAAATAACACGATTTTTGGGTAACAGTAAAAAACGCTTTTATATCATGTGATGAATTATCTAGTCAAACTAATAACAAAATATATATTTTGTAAATCGAAAATAAAAAATATAAATTTTTAAAATATAAGTACTTTATATCAAACTAAAATAATTTTAGTTTGCTACATCAGGAAATTTTTAAATAAGATGTATATCGATTACTAGCTGCAGGGTTAATTGCAATCGATTTATATCGATTATAATCGATTGCAATCATTTAAATTTAAATGATTACAATTGATTGTAATCGATATAAATCGATTGCAATCATTTAAATTTAAATGATTGCAATCGATTATAATTGATATAAATCGATATAAATCGATTGCAATAACTCTGCAGCTAGTAATCGATATGCATCTTATTTAAAAATTTTCTGATGTATATTTATTATAAAAAAAATCAATCAAATTGCATTTTTTATAAAAAAAAAAAAAATATTAAATAAAAATAAAAAAAAACAATTATACAAAGTATAAATTAGTTGAATTAAGTGTGATAAAAAAAAGCAAAGCATTTTATTCAAAATCGCCCGCACCTAATAAAAATGTTCATGGGATTTACAATACATTAAAGATCCTACCGCTACTCTTTTAAATTTTATATAACCTTAATGTTACACATTTTGAAACTTGATCATTGGACATTTTTATGCCAACTTTTTTTTTTTTATTTATTATTGATAAGTCCATATAATACGTGACATTAAGCTTATATAAATAGATTCTACGTAAGAAAAAATGTTTGTGAATTTATATGGGTTATATGTACTGACCCAATTAGGTTTGGATGCATTATAGCAATTTTATTACATAATGTCGGTTTATTTGATGTAAATAATGTAAGCTATTTGTTCGAACCTTTTAGTTCGTTATAGGCAAGGTTCGGTATATAGAGGTTCGGTATAAAGAGTGTCGACCGTGTCTTCCACTTCTTCACAGCGTACTCGGCTCATCAAATCCTTGATCCTAGAAAGATTAAAATCAGCACTATCACTTTCCATTGCATGTAAAATCGCTTCAACGCAATCATCAACCTTGTCTAACTCAATTTTACAGCATGAGGCAATGATTTTCTTGTATTGCATTTTAGCATTCACCGATTTTCCTCTCAATTCGTTAATTTCTTGTCGAAGTAATTCCTCATCTTTTGAATATGCATTTATCTGTGCTTGAAGATTTCTAATTTCATTTTCCGTTTTCGGGTCAATTAAAGGTTTTATAGGAGAAACACAAGAAGTAAATGAAACCGGAGAAACTGGGAACAATGGCTTAGTTGTTTGAGAAGACGCAGTATTTGAAGGAGGTGTAATCGTTATTGTTGGAGGCTTAGTTGTTGAAGAACTGAATGATGTCACAGAAGGTGAAACTGTTCTCGTTGATGATGTAAAAGCTGTTGGAACAACCATGGATGAAGAGAATGCAGTTGGTACTACTCTCGTTGATGATGGAAATGTTATTGGATGTACTGTGGAAGAGGCATCTATTGCAAAAGGAGTACTTGATTGTGATGAGATAGCATTTATGTCATTAGTAGAAGGTGGTGGTGATGGCACATTCTGTGGAAAAGATATTTCAATTTCTGGTACAGAAACTTCTGCCTTTGGTATTGGAGTGATAGCAGAGATGACTGAAAGAACGTCTAAGCCGGTAGCCGTTCCATTTGAATGCTCAATTTTTTGACGTTTACGCGGGACGATATAATCATCTTGATCTTCAGTGATCAATACTCTTTCCAGAAATTTAATGTACTCTTCTGTTTCATCGAATTCCTTGTCTTGCAGACGACAACAATGCAATATTCGTCTGGCTTCGATGAGTTGCCTTGAAGTTGCATTACACTGACGTTGCAAGTCAACTAATTGTTCATCTTTTAATCTAAGCTGTTCAATCCATTCAGTTTCAGCATCTTCAACCAATTTTTGAAGATCTTAATTCATATGTTGAATGATAAAATATATATTAGTAAACTCATTGTTAATCAATCATATATAAAAAAAAAAAAAAAAAAAAAGGTTATAATTACTTGAAACGATCTCTCTGGATTTTCTACGGGGATTAACAAATGTTGAAGTAATTGGTTGAGTAAAAAAATCCATTTGCTCCAGTCTCGCATCCTATCCGAGATTAACAAAAATGTATTTATTATCTTCCCTTCCTTTATGTAATATAGAGAATAAATAATCTGTAAACTCACATTTATATCATCAATATCAATACGTTCAGCAGGATCAAAATCTATTGCCTTTAACCCTATTTTATTTTCAATTTGCTTGTTAGCACCCATTTCTATTAGCTGACGAACTAGCTGAGTATTTCCTACTCTCGCAGCAATATTTAAAGCCGTGTCACCATTTTTATCTTGAATATTTAAAATCGTAGAAAGATTTCCATCAACATTCTGAGCGATCCATTGTTGCAGACAATCCATATAATATTTTGCTGCTGCGGCATGACCTTTAGTGCCAGAAGTCATTGAAATATGATGGAAAACAGTTCGATTATCTTTATCGGTCAACGGGATGGTTTCATGAAGAAGATCAAGAACGGCAGGAAAATTTTGTGCTTCGTAATTATTGGTGACAAGAACGGCGCGTACTAAAGCAGATTCGCCTTCATAATTCAATTGACGTACATTAGCACCCCTTGTCAATAATAATTCCATAACTTGTAGTCGAGCTAGAGCAGCCGCCCAATGAAGAGCAGTATGACCATGATTGTCAATGATAACATCATAATCAATATCATCCGGAGAAGATGGGTTTGAAAGAAGATCTGGTATTTGATTTGGATCTTCATTAAGGAATATTGCCATTAAAACATTTCTGTGACGTTCCCCTTCGTCCATTTCTGCAGCCGTTAGAGGTGGTTCAGAAGCCTCAAAGTTTGTCATCGTAACAGTCTCTGCTTCGTTTTCATTATTAGATAGTAAAGAGTCGCCGTTGGCTTGAATATCGGAATGAGAATTCGATTGAATAGTGGTGGTAGTAGCCTTCGCAGCTTGCCTACGTAAAGCCGCCATCGCCTGTTCTTTAGTTGGAGTATATGGAGATGATGAATAAGGTATATCATGTTTAGGTGGTTTATATTCTAACAAAGGACGCAAAATTTCAAGAACCCCATATTGCTCAGCAAGTTCCTTTCCCCTTTCATATGGAACCCTAAAGATGTTATAATATAATTGATGATGAGTTGAATAATTCAAGATAAAAAGTTTCAGTGTACACAAAACAATATTTTATATGTTATCGTGTTATTAATTGTCACACGCATGAATCGATATTAAAATTATCAAATAACGTTGAATCGCTTGTTCTACTTGCTATGCAAGTCAATTTTCAGTTAAAAAATATTTACTATACATTTATTATTGTATATGTTGCTTACCAAGTACCCTGATATTTCCCATAACCGCCTTGAACTTTTTCGTGATCACCAGTTAAAACTTCTTTTTCGATAATTTTTGTACGTTTACCTTTTTCAAGACCAGCAACCTTCAAAATTTGCGTGGCGTTCAAGTAAGAATCCGGACGCCGGCGCATCACTGCTACGTCTCGTACAAGAAATTCGTATACTGGTACTCCAGAATAAACCGCGGAATAAATTGGACCTATGCTTGGTCTTGGGAGAGATGCTGTAGATTCTGGTGTTGCAGGAGTCGGTGTAGAAGGGGTGCCTAATAATGATGGAGATGCAATAGGAACAGTTGAAGGAGGAGACTTCGCGTTACTTAAATTTTCGTTTGTGGTGTTTGTTTCACTTTGGGGGCCTGAAGGTGTGCTTGGCGTTGAAGTATCCATTTCTAACCATTCAAAGGTTAGACACGTTATTTGGATATTGATCGTAATAGAAACTATGTTGATAAGTTGCACCTACTAAAGTAATGTTAAAAGAACGCTCCAAATAAATCAGCCGAGTTTTTTAATGTTATTAACTAACAAACGGCACAAAATCTATTCAACATATGGTGTGACACAAAAGAAACACGAAAATGACTCGAAAATGTCACGAGTCACGCAATTTGAACTACCTAATATAAGCATCAGGCAAAATTTTTACATATATGCATATTTATATACCAATCAACAAATTATCAAAATTATCAACAAATAAATTATCAAGACCTTTTTTTTTATTATTATCAAAAAAATGAGTCTATAAATTATTTAAGTTTTTCGTTGTTATCAAGACGTTCTAAAAGATAACTAACTTCAACTTCCTTTGTCAGGGGAATTACCCATTTTTCGTACAATTCAACAACTAAGTCTACATTGATCTTTAAATATTTTGATGCATGTTCAGCATCTAATTTAAAATCGCCAGCCTCAGTTATATCTTGACCATAAATGAGGGCTTTACGTTTAAGGCGTTTTAACAAAGCTTCTTCTACTTTTTTATTTGTTAATAACTCTTCAATAGCCTTTGAATCGCGAGATTTTATGTATTCGATGTACTTTGGTTGAAGTTCTGGATCCCGGAATTTTGCTTCGGCAACATACTTTCCTTTTTTTTTTTTTTTAAGAGATGAGATTTTGTTACAAGAAATAATAAACAATTGAAATATAATACTACCATAATGAATTCTCTGAGATAAGGCTTGAAGACACATAACATCTCGAGTTGCAGCAGAACCATAATTCTGATCATCTTCCATGGCACATAACGAAGGGACAATTTGCTCAACATAAAATTCCATAATTTTTGCGTTAACATTAATGTTATTTGGCTTAAGAATTTGCGGGTAATCAAGAGGGGGAATTATTGGATCGGGAAGAGGTCCAGTAGTAAAAGGATATTCATCGGGACTTTATAAATTTATATCAATTAATTTACTAGCAGGATAAAAATTATAGTTCTAAATTTTTGTATGTTCACCTTTGATATCTTCTTACTTTTGCTGTTTGAAACTAATGTAAGCCATTTAATAATAATAATTATTGCACGGGTCTTATGTAACAACCCGTGCTTTCTTCATTTACTTATTGGCACGGGATTGTACGTCAGACACCGTGCAATAAAATATTATGGGTTATAATAACTAAATTTGCACGGGGTTACATGGCCTTCGGCCATGTAACGTTAACCCGTGCAAATTTAGTTATTTTTTACAACCCATATAACTATAACTTATTCGCTTGTCTTTTCTTACTTACCATGTACCTTTTCTGACTCTCGCAGAAAGTATTCTAAGAAGCTTCCTTCAAAATCTTCGCAGTCCTTATATTTATAAAAGCCGGGCTCGTAAACAGGCTTATTGTAGCTGAATTGAGCTCGCTCTATAAGAGCTATTGGTTTCGCAAGGAAAAAATTAATTCAATTTAAAAAAAAAAGCTGGAGCTTCATGTTTTAATGAAAAAAGCGAACCAAAAATTATAGTATCTTCTAATCGAATTAGTGTTTGACGCAATTTTTCCAAGGAAATAGCATCTTCTGTTCCCGATAAAAAATTCATTTTTTCGATTATTGTTGAATAGGCAAGTTTGATTTATGTATGTAAATCTTGTCACGTGTAGTATCATATTTGTACGACTATTTATTATTCATAGCAAGAGTAATACACGAAAATTATTCATAGAAAGCTAAATAAAGTATTGCATGCACTAAAATAAATACGTGTTTCGTCGGTCTCCTTATTAAATTTGAATAATATGTATGTTTATTGTAAAAATCGTGCATTATCATGCTGAGTTAGTCGGTTTTTTGAGTTATTATTATACTTTCGTCGAGATTTATGTCTTTGATCAATTCTTGTACGATGCGCTAAATCCACTGCACGTGATATATCTTCGAGAAAGACATAATCTAAAAAATTATTATAAAATATAGATCACATTCAAAAAGACCTTTAAAGATAGGAACCGGATTTATTTTTTCATATAATGAAAACCCGGTTCTAAACTATAGATACTGTACAATATAAATACGCACCACTCATCAATTCTTTATATCCGTATTCATGTAGTGCTATATAACTTGTTTTTGATCTTACGCCATCGCAATTATATGTTTCTTTATGTAATTTTGAACATGGTAAAGAGCATGAGCGAAATTCACATTTTGGACACTTATATTTCCATTTGTTAATATTGCAAGCTTGACAAATGGTTCTGTCTGATTGCAAAATTGAGATCATTAAACAACCGTTATATTCATAACCTGCAAACTATTTGGTATAAAAAGAAAACACCACTGATACCTATTTCTGATAGTGGGGTAGTCTTATTTTGTGAAGTTGAAGGCTGACTTGAATGATCTAGTGTCATTCAACATACAAATACGTTGCTATTTTAAAACCTTTTCTATTAATTAAAAAGCTAAATTAAAATAGATCATACCTGGACTATCATAGTTTGCTTCGTTTTCTTCATCGTCCTCATATTGTTCTAGAATTAAAGAAAGAGGATCAAAAAATTTGGCCATCGTGGCTGTGTATAACCTGCTGTGGGAACATTTGTATAGAATATGTTTCAACAACTTATTTTTATTGGCTAAAAATATATAGTAGTACAATATGGAATGATAAATCTGAATTCTAGATATATCGATATTTATATTTAGATTCCAAGTTTGTTTCAAGAATAAAAAGAAGGTTCATATTATGTATCAGTCGATCGATATATTAATTTTTTTATCATATGATTTTCATAAATTACACTCAAAGTTCTGGCGTTCCTTAAACAAATAAGTTGCCAGGGTTTCAACGAAACGAGCAATATAAAGAATATGTCACCTGGTAATGCGGCTCCTTCAAAGATGGACAATTATTTTGTCTTTTTCACAAGATTCTTTTGAAATTTTCAAGAACTTGATATCAGAGTGCCGACACTATGTAAATCAAAACTATATATATAGATTATATTGAATATACAGTCGTCCTCCTCTTCTATATAATCACACCCTCCTTATAAGCACCATTTTTTGAAAAATTATTGACAATATATATTTATTAAAAGAACTCTATATAATCACACTACTATTAAAATTTTATAATCACATCTTTTTTTACATAAAACAAACAGCGTGATTATAGAGGAGGACGACTGTATTAGAAATTTTTTGTGTAATGATTAATTTTTTTTACAATTTTATAAACTTTATTATAACACATTTTCAAATACATAGCTCGTACCTGTGATTTGATTTGATTTTAATAAATATAGAATTATTACTGTAATATATAATATAAACAAAGTTATAATATATTATTATTAATTTTTAGATACACTATATATTTTATAAAAAAATTTCAGATCTTCTTTAGCATATAAAAAAAATTATTATTATTGTTTTTTCATTCTTTGACAGTCTCATTGGTACTACATTAATAAGTTAATATATTAAACATTTGCTTAAATAATTTAACCCTCTAATTGCAAGCCTGACATCACCTAGCTGTAATCTGTTATACCAGCTTTAAAAAAGTTGAAATAACTTTGTTAGCCTATCAAAAACTAATCCCTTTAATTTTTCTTTCTTTACCAAGAGCAAAAAAAAAATATGTTTTGTATTTACAATACAAAACCTAAACTAAAAAAAAAAAGAGAACTATAATTAAAAAAAAACAAATAATTAAAAAAAAAATTTAAAAGAAAAGAAATAGGAGAACAAAAGAATATAAAAAAAGAAAAACAAAGAGAAAAATCTATTAGACTAACAAAGTTGATTATTTCTATCAAGAAGTAATACAAAAAAAAAAAAAGTATTCTATTATAACTTGTGTAAGGCTAATAAAAATTATATACTAAATGCAACATTTATATATCTCTACTATAAAGCTTTGCCTTAACATATATTCTTTTTTTGACTATACAACCATCTTCGGATATCTTTTTAATCAAAATCCAATGAAGTAGTATTATATTTCTAAATAAACAAACATGTAGTTGTAATCTACTGAGTTTATTCAAATTTAAAAAGTAAACAATGTCAATCTTTTGAAAGAATAAGCCAAATCCCTACTTTTTTTCGAAAATTTTTAAAAAACAAATAAAAAGGCAAAAAGAGGTAAAAAAAAAATTATTTGGCCAAGTAAAAGAGTGTGACTTAAAAAAAAAACAAATATTTTGGGGTCTGATATAGAATAACGGGTCTATCATACTCAAATATCACATTTGCAGATCATCACATACTAGAACATGTAACAGAAAAAGATCATTGTCGCGTACGTAAACAACATTACACAAATTACTATAAATATTTATTTAAAATCAAGA